AAAGATCTGATGCCAGAAGCCTGCGAATCAAATATAGAACATTTTCTTTGGTGAACAGGAGGGCGAAATTTGCAAACAACATCGCACGACGGTTTGAACAGATCCCAGTGATGACAACTGATGTGGAAACCGAGTGGCAGCTGTTTAAGAACGGCAAACTCGAGGCTGCCGCCGAATGCTGCGGATATAAACGGGTTGACCTGCCGCCTGGAGGTCAGAAAAGATCTTCATAGTGGGCACGAGAGGTACGACTGGCGGTTAAAGAGAAGAAAGCAGCGTTCAAGAAACGGCTTGAAAACAAGGAGCCATATAATCGCGCGCGATATGTCGAGGCCCTCAAGGCGGCAGCCATAGCAGTGGCAAAAGCCAAAGCTGATTCCTGGGAGAAGTTCGGTGAAATGTTGGAGTCGAATTTCCATACGGCAGACAAAGTATTCTGGTACACCATCCGCCGGCTCCGAGGTGAAAAGAAGGGCAGTCTCAGAGTCTTGAGGGACAGGTCTGTACACCGTTTCTCCAAGGATGATGACATTCTTCAGCGATGGAGGGAGTACTTTGAGGAACTCCTTAACCCCGTGCAACCGAAGGAAGACCCACCTGTCGAGCAGCAGGGAGCAGGGAACGGGTATTAAATTTCTGTAGATGAAATGATGTAGTAGATGTTCCGTTGATGATGTAGATGAAATGGAACCCGGATACAAGCTGCTGAAATACGCTTTCTTAGACGAGTCGCTGGCCTTACGCGTCTGGACATGGTCCGGAATACTGACCTCCGAGAGAACCTTGGTGTACAGCCTCTGCTTCTCCAGATTGAGAAGTCATGTTTGTGATTGTTTGGGCAGCATGTATTGTGAATGCCTGCATGGAGGCAGGCTAAATATCTCTTTCTTGCCATATCGACCTGCAGAAAGCCGAGGATTAACTTGGTGCAAACATATGGAAGGAGTCTGTTCCAGACTGCATTTGCCTTTTGCCGAAGCTCAGACTCTGGCACAGGATCAGAACCGTTGGAAGCTCTGTCTGACGCGTCTGCCTGCGCGATCCGAAAGGAGAAGCGGCAATGGAAGATGAAAAACAAGATGTTTTAGGGCCTCTAATTCACCAACGGTGTCTGTTTTCCTGATTTGTGGTTGCCTCGGGAGGGATCCAGTCGTAGAGCAGAGATGTAAAAGTTTTACTAACAGGCCACGCGTTTCGTCACCTGCACTGGTAACATTTTCAGGACTGAATAAATGAAGCACTGAACTCAGCTTTTTGGTGCTGTAGTAAAGTACTGATGACGTAATTCCGAGTGACATTTGTATTTCACTCACTGATGAAATCAGATTTTCATAGCAGATTACTGATTGCGTCCTCCGTCGAGCTTCGACTTGTATTAAATAATGAGCAGTGTGTATTGCACATTTGGTGATTTCGTTCCAAAAGGAGGGAGTCTTCGTTTAATACCGCTAGCCTAATGTCTGCATATTAATTACTGTAGCCCCGTTTCGCAGATACCATGTTCTTCAGCAGTGGCATCGTATACACACAATGCTGGAGTATTCAGCATGGCATTGCGGTTTGTAGACGTTTCTTCTTTGATATTATGCAGTCTATACGCCTTACTGACATGATTTCTGTCGCAATCACTGCATCTTTTTTTGTTAGTAATATTAAGATCCTCGGTACAAAATAATAGAACCCAATTTTATAGATTTACTGGCATCAGGTACTAAAAAAATTTTTACGTCTTACCGGCGGTATCAAAGACTAGCAATATGCTAGTAAAGCCATAAGATTGTCATGTTTTGTTTTTCCGTATATATGCCCGTGGATCGTGGCATATTTGCCCGTGATCGTGGCATGTTGTCAGGTTTTCGAACAGGTTTTCGTTCGGCCCTGCCAGGTGATGCGGATTTCCATCCATGCGCTGCAGGTACTCAAATACCATGGAGCACTGATATGCCTAAATGGTCCCCTAGGCGAGTAGGAGCAAGGGCATGGTTCTTACGCCTCTTCAATCCCGTATCAATGTCTAAAAAACGGATTAAGAGCTTTGGTTAGGTTGCTTGGATGATACTTCTTAAAAAGTAGCATCTGCAGTGTCATTCTTATTCTAAAATTTGGGAGTAAATTGGAATACATAAATATTCTGCATTCAATTTTTAATTTATTAAGCTCCTGCTGATGATACCGTTGTTTGTACCAAAATGCATCGTCGACTTTGACCAAGACTTTCTTGTTCCTGCTTTATGCGTTTGCTTTTTCTAACCATGCATCGAGAAAACAAACAATCAATTGATGTCATGCTTGTTTCTGGATTTAGGTGGAGCCTACAAACAGCTAGAGTTTTAGTAAGGGCGTAAATATACCATAATAAACCCAAAAT